ATGCGTCATGCTGAAACTGCGCCCATCCCATTGCCGGTAATGGGAAAAAAAGTCACGATACGTCGCAACACATCATGTGACATTGCGAGTTTGACACCCCTGATCTAAAGACACATTTGTTAAATAAGAGAATATCCTAGATCAAGGCTCCCCCAAAATTATCGATATCAACCCACAAGGGTGAAAGGGACTATCCAAGGTATCCTTGTTGCTTTCATTATTCATAGTATGATTAAAAGTAGAATTTATTAATTTATTTTCATATAATAAATGTTTGGAGATTGATGAACAATCTGAAACTTCACAAAAGGGTCAATGAGCTGAGGAATTTGGGATCCCTGACTTAGACAAACACTAATGTGTGTGTTCCCTCCCTAAATCTTCTTAAAAGCAAGTTTTTGACTCAAAATAAACATTGTATTTTCAGACATATTACATTATGCTATAATAAGATTGTTTAAATAGAACTTAGATTATGTTGCCTATTGTTGTTAAAATCATCTTAAATCTGTCACTTGCATCAAGAATGACAGTGGCATCACTTCTGTTATAATTTAGATCAAATCTCCACATATTTCATCATAATTATTTAATTGGTAAATAAAATAACCTGATTGTCTTGTTGTCAGACTTTAGAAATTGAATTACTCTTGTCCTCACAATAAGTGGGGTGTATGCATCCTTTTATGGGAAATTCAATTGTATTTTAAGTGGAAACCTTTGGTCTGTTATCAACTCTTTTACATTAGGAATTTGGAAAATGGTTCCTAAACAACTATGTGAGTGCCATACAGAGGAGAGGGTCCTTGAGAAATCTGTATTAAAATAATGGGAAGAGAGAGAACATTGCCCTCTTACTGTAAGTGATATTCAAGATGTACCCATGACCAATATGCAAGAATAAACTGATAAGAGTATAACTGATGCAATGAGTGGGCTGACAGTTGCTAAGTCCTAGTCTGAGCAAAACCGGTTTTCCCACCGGCAAAGACCTTAAAGGAAGGACACCCATATCCTGGTGTGGTGAGTTGACAATAAACCTGGATATCTGCTCACATCCTCTTAAAGAAGAAACAACAATGTCGGAAAAGAGGCTCCTTCTATGAAAAGTAGGTATGAGAAAAGGATTTTCTATGCTGTAAATTATTAAAAGACAAGGTGGTTTATACAAGAGGAAGCAGACAATAGATGGAAAACATTAGAAAAAAAAAATAGAAAAGCAAGGAAATCCTTTTCCAGCAGAATTCTTCTCAGCATCTTAGTTGCTAAATGTTATTTGACTATTATTTCTTTTTTCAGCATAGATTAAGCTTTAAACACGGATATGATAGAGAACAGTCCATATAAAATATATGCTAATGTCTGAACACATTTTCTTTGGGAGCAACTGGAAACCACATAACCTAATTATTACTTGATTATTGATATTATCCTGGTCATGGTATTAGAATGCCAATTTAAAACCAACTTCTATAACAGAATTTATTTTGTAATAATTAGGCTCCTGGGTCTTAGACTTTAACTACGGTATGATATCCTTTATCTTTTAATTTAAATATATATAATTACTATGTGTAAAATCTCATCCTTGCACTCTGTATTAATTATCCCTATTTGTAAGTTATATGAGAAGATTTTGCAATACAGTATACCAATAAACTTTGAAAACTTAAACAGTTAAATTTTATGTATTTACTTAGCTTTTTATCCACAATGTTGAACTGTTTCCTCTTTCAGTACCTGTATACACACACACACACACACACACAAACAAATATCCTGTACTTTTATATCTTGAGTGTTGTCACAATTAATTAATATTGAAGAACTGCCAATGCAATTTACTCCAATCACTGGATAGGGCAATAAAAAAAGGAGCTGCCTCTGTATTTATAGTATTTTATTTGAGAAACAGATACCTTTATCTCCCAGGATTCTGAATATGGGCAGATCTATAGCCATATGATAGCCACCTTTGCTCTGGAAGGGCTTCTGCCTCTTACCTAAATTACAACATGCAAAGGTTCAGCAGATATAAGACAGCATGACTGTGATAGAAAACATTCAGTTATTTAATTTCTTGTTACTGCACGTGGTTAAAGTTATAGGATCCCATCAGGGAAGCTGCGGTTGACAATCCTAGCCACTGAGGACAGCATTAAGGAGACATTAAAGTAGCCTGGGAAACCAGGGGCTGCTGTGCAATTAGTAGGGGATGAAAAGCAAAAGCTATACTGTACATAGAAGAAGATAACAGGGAGGGCTAAGAAGTGCACATTCTGGAAAGAAAAATAGATTGTTACAGGATTGCCTGCTACAATTAGGTCACGGTGTGTATAGTTGCCAGCTGACTCAATGCAAATACAAGCAACTTTGGCAATTCAACCTCAACAACCTTTTGATTTACAGACGTTCACTTTAGAAGCTTTCCGAGGGAAACAGTTGGGTTCACACAATACAATATGCCCAAAATTAGAGTACTATCTGGCTTAAGATATATGAACCCAACAAGAAAGATAATGCTTTTTATATAATGAAATCTATTATTTAGCTACTGTCAGGGCTTTTTTTCTCATAGAATGCCCAGAATGGAGTTCCGGCACCTTTTCTGGATGGAACTTTGTAGGGTAGGCAAGGCAGGTTGTATGACATGTGTGAGTTCCGGCACCTTTTTTTTTTTTTTTTTTTTTTTAGAAAAAAAGCACTGGCTACTGTTAAAGGCATAGTACAGAGGGGGACTAAATGGAAAGTCCTCCAAGAGAGTGTCTGTTTCACAACAGAGATTTGTTCCAGATGACTTTCATAGAGAAAAGTTGAGTCTAAAGCAAAGATTTAAATTGTGATTGCAAATGTGTTTTTCTTCACAGTCATTATGCTATTAGGAGATAGTTAAATTGCCAAACATTCATTAAATTTAGGGAACAACAATCTGAAATGGTCACAGAGCTAAGCCTGAAGGCCAGGTCTGAGGCAATGATAATGGTGGCAGAAAAATTGAACAGCCTTAATGCTAGAAGGGGTATAGATGGGAGGCAAAGCTTACTACTTGTGCCAATGAAATCTCTTGTCCATGTTCAGAACCAGCAGTAGAAAACAGATTCGGGGTGAGGAGGGGGCTTAAAATGTCTGAAGATTACATATGCCTTCCCCCCCCCCATCCAAGGCAATGCAGCTTAACTGCATTCATAGAATTATCATCCAGTGGCATTGAGTGCATTATTGGAAGATGTGAAAGATCAAATTAGGAACAGATAGTCATGGAGAAATTCTTTGTAGAGTTGATAATGATATAATATAATCAACAATGTGACCCCCCTCCCCCCCAAAATATCCAAACATGTAAGTTTTATGCTTATATTATTTTAAATGGTCACAAATGATCAGGTGGCTTATTGTAGCAAGGTGAAAGTGTGAGAGGACTTGGTCTTGGGCTTCTTTTTTAGACTGAATTCTTTTTATCCCAGATAGGTTAAATCACCTTATTCTGTACTAAATGAAAAGTGAAGCAGTAAGCAAATGAAATGGGGGGGGGGGTTGGTGTAATAATACCAGCAGCTTTTTCAGGAATTCTCAGGATTTAATCATTTTAGGCTGTACTTTAATGGCAGGTATATTTCCCCCTTTCTAGTTTCTGTTTTAGAAGGATTTTTTCAGAGTTGCCACTCTGAATATACTAAAATGGAACCTATCCACCAAATTGTCTTGGCAAGGTTGTTTCCGTAAGTGCCATTGCCTGCTTCCTAGGGCCGAGAGCAAATAACTGGCCCAAGGTCACCAGTTGGCTGTGTGCCTAAGGTGGGACTACACTTCTCAGTCTCCTTGGGTTCTAGCCTGATACCTTAACCACAATAGCAAACTAGATAAATTCTCCAAATAAGAAATTGTTTTCTATTTATACCTGAAAATCTTGCTGTACATGTTGCCAAAATGCAGCAGTATGTAAAAAAGATTGAGAGTGTTTGATTTGCACGTGAATAATGAGACTCCTATGTAGACGTCCGACACATTCAAAAGTATTTATATTAAAGCCAATGTGGTTTCACTGAAATAGATTAGCTTGGGTCTAATGTATTTATTTTTTAAATAGGATTATGGGCTGGGGCAGTCCAGTCATTCTCCCATGATAGTCAAACTCTACTGCTAAAGTAAATTACATGAGAAAGTGCTAGTAGTATGGAGAGTACAGAAGTGTTTACAGTGGAAGGCAAATTCTCTGAAAAGGTTGAATGCTGCCATTGTTTCCAGTGCTCACGCAATTCCATTTGATTCCATTTGAGCTGAGATGGCTCTTTGCCACCAATCATGTGCTCCAAAGGTGTGTCTACTCCATGCCTCGAAGCATGAAGTGATGTCCAGCACAGGCCAAATTGATGACTGAATCACACAGAATGTTCTCTGATCTTTTTAAAAAAATGATCCTGAAAAGAATCCTACTAGATCCTTTGATGCAAGAACTTTCCATCCATATCGTCTATTCCATATTAGCAATTACTTTATGTAGATATGTCCATGGCTTTATCAGTATTTCAACATGATTTGAAGGAAACTGCCCTCTTTCTTAATGATGCACTACACTCCAAAACATTTGATTATAAGGCAAAGCAAAGTCCATGGAGAGAGTTGAAATGAAATTGTGAAGTACCATATTAAAACTGCAAAAGGAATAAAGGACTCTTTCTGTGTATGACCTGTTTGTTAACCAGCGCTATGAAGCCAATTTCCTCCCTAGTCAATATTGTTTCTTAGAGTTGCTATAGCTTTGTGTTCATGTGCAGTTGTTAAACTTCATTGTCACCGAGAGATCACAGTAACCAAGGAAAGTATCCTCTGCATTTAACATCTAGTGAGACCTGCTACTGACAAACTAGACGAGAAGCCTAAGCTGCCCCCTGCTGGAGTGAAAACTAAACACCACACAAAAATGAATAAGAATCATATACGTTTATACGAAAGGTAAAAGTTCAATCTTTCGTATGACACAATTAGAATCACTTCTCCTGTGATAGAAAATGAAATTTTATTTTGAATGTTAAATCCAGGATAAGACCCTCTGCCATTCCAGTTTTGCACAGAACAAAATCAGATCAGATTCTGTTACAAATGTCATTTCTCCTTGGACCCAATTCTGCAGGGGCATCTTCCAGCAGGGATATTAATCACAAAGGGCAGTCTTCCCACTAGTAATACCCACAGTGATCCCAAAGTCTTCCGTGAGCTCCTAGGGGGCCAAAACAATGTGCCGCTGCGCTTCACAGTTCTTGATTTCAGTGGTCCCCTGCATCATAGGTGATCTGTGCATCGAAGCTATGGGACTGACACCTCTGAAAGACAAAAATTCTTTTGAACTTTCACAACTTTACAATCATTGTTTAAATGACTTTTACTAAGTCCCTGCTTGTTAAAGAACAAGGTTTGGCAAGTCCTTTTCTAGAAAGGAAATGCCACCTTTGGGGATTAACCACCCTGGATGTAATGATTTTCCATACTCTACCTTTTGTTTTTCAACTGCAATTTTTGCAAGAAAACCCATTCTGGCAGAGGAATGCTTTTCCGTCACAGAATTGTTGCTCGAGATTTTCCCTCAGTTTAGGGCAGTGGTGGCGAACCTATGGCATGGGTTCCAGAGGCGGCACTCAGAGCCCTCTCTGTGGGCACGCGCACCATGCCCCGGAGATGGCAACCGTCCCTCTTCAGCCAGCCGCCCGCTAACTCGCCAAGGTCCCACATGGCTAGATGCATCCCAGCATGGCTGGTTTCCCTCCCCCCGTCCCATCCCTCCTGGCCTCGCATGCTCTCCTTTTCCCAGGCACGACCCACTGCATCTATGCTTCTCTGAACTGCTGGCAGCGGGCTGCGGAGCCCCAGAGTGCGCAGGTCGAGGGGCCAGCAGGCTGTGGCTGCCGACGGACACCGTCGGCCCCCATGCGCTCACTGGCCTCTGTGTGCGGGGGCTGATGGTGTCAGACAGCAGCCGCCCTGGCCCCTGCCTCGCCTTGCCTTGCCTCACCCTGCAGGACGAGCCTCCTACCCACCGCCCTACCTGCCAGAGACCCCATGGATCTCCCTCAACCCTGCCCGGCCCTCACAGGCATCCCTCCCCACGAGCAACATCAAAGTGACCACACCCACCTTGGCCACACCCACCCAGTCTGCCATGACCACCACAGCCACACCCACCCAGTGGGCCATGCCCACCTGGCACCTGGCAATAAATAAGTGGGTTTTGGGTTGCAGTTTGGACACTCGGTCTCTAAAAGGTTTGCCATCACTGGTTTAGGGAATCCTTACTGTTCTTTAGTTTTCACATCTCCACCCACTGAATCCATGGTCCTCATTTACAATTTCTTCCCAATTACAGATAGTCCTCAATTTACAACAAAAACTGAGCCCAAAATTTCTGTCGTTAAGCAAGACAGGTATTAAGAGAGTTTTGCCCCATTTTAAGACCTTTCTTGCCACGGTTGTTAAGTGAATCAACAGCAGTTGTTAAGCTAGTAACAGGGTTGTTAAGTGAATCTGGCTTCCCCATTGACTTCGCTTGTTCAGAAGGTTTAGACACGGCAATCGTCATAAATACGAGTCAGTTGCCAAGCGTCCGAATTTTGATCATATGTCCACGGGGATGCTGCAACGGTCATAAGTATGAAAAATGGACATAAGTCACTTTTTGCAGCGCCATTATAACTTAGAATGCTTGCTAAACAAACTGTTGTAAGTTGAGGACTACCTGTTGTCGCCTTTCCTCTGCACACTCCTTTTCCTTGGGATTTTTCTGGACCTTATACAACCCAATAAATAGCAGGAGGCAGCCAAAGAAGAAACCCAGGGACTACGAAAGAGAACCTGTGCAGAAACACCTTTCGGCCACTCCTAAACTCTCAAACAGGCATCAGCTACTACACCTCTCTCGAGGTGTACTTGATTGCATTTTAATTTTGAACCAGTCCTTTCACACTACGAGCCCTTATCGCCTTCCCTTCTGCTGATCTACTCACTTTTGGGAGAAAACAGGAGAGTGTGCAATGATTCTCGGCCGTGCTGTCAGCATTACTTCCCCACGACTGGCCTCCACCAGAATGTTCTGGATGGTGTTATCCAGCACCATTTCAGCCAGATTTGCAAATGCCGGCATCCTTCACAGAAAGCACATTTCAGATCTTCATGCTCACTGATGCTGGTGTTTCCTATGTTGCTGTCAGGGACTGTACCCAGAGCACCTTTTATAATGCCATGGTCAACAGCGGAAACTCATGCCCAGTCAAGTATGCATCAACCCAAGATAATATTTTTGTGGCGAAAAAAGGAACACCCTGATCTTGGTGTATTTAAAGTCAGCTACATAGAAAATACTATATATAATGAGAAACCAAATTGATCTGGGAAAAAAATATTGTCTACTAATGGGAAATACTTTGGCAATGCATAAGACCAGAGAATGTTTATAATTTGGCAATATTCTATATTAAAAGATTTAGAAAACTTCATCCAAGATTAACATTGTAAAGAGGCAACAGCAATAGCCCCTAGCCTAGACTTTACATACCGCTTTACAGTGCTTCACAGCCCTTTCTAAGTGATTTACAGGGTCAGCATATTGCCCCCAACAATCTGGGTCCTCATTTTACCGACCTCAGAAGGACGAAAGGCTGAGTTAACCTTGAGCCAGTGAGACTTGACGCTGGCAGTCGGCAGTCATCAGAATTAGCCTGCAATACTGCATTCTAATCACTGTGCCCCCACGACTCTAATATTACAGGTAGTCCTCGACTTATGACTTGTAAATTGTGATGGTTGTAAATCAGGTCATACGCACAACAGACCCAATTTTACAGTCTTTTTTGTGGCAGCTTTTGTAACTTTGGAACTGGGTTGTAAATACCTCGAGAGAGGGCCATTTTAACTTCGAACAGTTACTATATGAGTGGTCACAAATTGAGGACTATCTGTACTTTCATAACAAGCCTGGCAGACTTAAGCTTTCATTCAAACTTCAGTACCAATGCCAGAACATTAAACATATGTATAGGAAGCTTCTCACACTCTATATCAGGGGTGTCAAACTGCCAGCCCGCAGGCCGGTTTCATCATACTGAAGCCGCGCCCACCCCATTGCTGGCAATGCAAAAAGAGTCACGATACGTCGTGACATGTCACGTGACGTGGCGAGTTTGATACCCGGGCTCTATATTGTAACCAGATTGCAATTTTGACTGAATTTCGCCATATTTCTGCTTTTGGGCTCTCCAGCCCAGTACTGATATTTTGAATCCTAACCTCTAACTTTTGACTATATGGTTCCTCCTAGTCCGTCTGTACCGTTTGTCTGGGAATTTGAACATCTTTTTGGTTCTGACTGCATATCTGCCTCTGGTCCCTTAGATTCTTATTCTCATATCCTTTTGCTGGAATTTAAGATGCCTGATTTTGACTATGCATCATGAAACGGACCTCCAGGAGGCATGGGCAGAAAAAGAGAATTGTTAAGACACTGAAGCTCTATGCCTACAGCCATTATGAGGACCTAAGCTTTGAAAAGACACCGCCACCAGGTTTGCCAGACCTTTTCCTTCACCTGTAAGTAAGAGGAGGCTTCCCAGTAAACTATGTATAGTATTAAGTTCATCTTTTTTGTGATTCAACTAGCACATATCGATACATTGTTCTAGAACAGACATGTCAAACACAAGGCCCGGGGGCCAGATGCGGCCCGCGAAGTGGTTACATGTGGCCCGCGAAGCCATCCTGGGAACAGTGAGGGAACGGCCCCCTCTGCCTTGGCCCTGGCCTAGGTCCCACCCCCTTCTGCCAGAGACCCTCAGATCTGTCCCACTCCTGCCCAGGCCCCCACAGGCACCCTTGACGCGAATGATGTAGAACTGGCCACGCCCACCCAGCAGGCCACACCCACTCCATCCACGCCCACCCAGTAGGCTGCACCCACTCTGGCCACGCCCACCCAGCCCCCCAAGGGCAACCGCAATGCTGATGCAGCCCTCAGTGAAATTGAGTTTGACACCCCTGTTGTAGAATCTCAGGACAAATATGGCCTCTTGATCATTAGTTTCCCTGGTCAGTATTTTTCTGTAGGAAAGTTTTGGGACAGCCTCATAAATAGAATCAATAAATGCATCTGATATTCTTTTTCATTACAGGAATATTAGCTTAGAACACAGCTGTTTTGCCTCAACTTTTAGTTTAGAAATGTTCAAATTGTCTCACCTGATAATGAATTCTTTCTCTTCCCGGGACTGGTCCTTGCGAATAATGACACTTAGGTTCTCTGTAACACATGAAGTGACTCTGGAAGGTACTGTTTCTCTTCCCAAATCTTCGTCATCTGTCCTATCTTTAGCACTGAATTCTGGGGAAGGCGTTTCTGGAGAGGTGCCAGTTGGACTCTTCTTCTGTTTTGCTGACTTTTCACTCCAGAATTGGCAGAAGTAGGGTATGGGTTCTGTGAGGCTTCTGGCCACTGCTTGTTGGAACTGTGTCTCCTCCAATAAACCCCTGGAATATCAAAGAGGATTCCTATTGCAATTCAGATTAAGAATCATCAAGATTCATTGTATCATTGCCCATAGCACCTGAAATCCTGGTAACATAAAAGCTAATATATGCTTAAGATGATTCACTTATGTGTCAGGGATAAAAGAAGGCAAAATTCCCGGGAGTCATCACTACTCTGCCAGAGATACAGCTCAGCCAGACAATGGTTGAACTAAGTGATAACGACTGGCGCAAAGTCCCCCAGTAAATTTTAATTGACGGAGGATGGAGTTGAAGCTGGGCGATTCATATCAGTGAGATACACTGGAGCTGGATAAGAAATCCAATCTCCTATCAGGCCTTGCATTTCTCATAATTGATTTAATTTAACCTTTCTTATGAGGTTATTCTGAAAGAAGACAGGAATAAACTACATTATTTTCAGCATCCTGGTTAAACAGCAGATCATACATATGATAAATATATCTTAGCTCTGCAGTCTATATATTTATAAAATATATCAGCTACGCAGTAAAACTATCTAAATATTTCAGGATTTTTGACAGACAAGCCACCTACTTGATCACCATAGAGAGCATGTCCGTCAGCAGCTGGGCTTCTTGTTCTGTGCGGTTTTCTAAATCCATCCGGGTGACATCCTTTATAGATGCTTTTCCAGTTTTGCTCACAATTGAGAATAGCGATGCCCTATGTACAGAATCTTTTCTTGCTGTTTTCTTCTTCAGTTGGCTATAAAGGAAACATTAAAACACCTCTTCTAAATGATCTAAGTCTTTCTACAACCATGAGAAACAAGGAGACAGGATTTGTCTTCCAGCTCAGTTTATTAAATATTCTCATACCACAGGGGTGAGTTGGAAGGTAATCAGATTGTTTTTTTTCCCAATTCCAATATTTCCACATTAAGACAAGCAATACGTAGAACAGTTTTTATTCATAATAATACGATTTAAGCAAAACTAAAGCAAGTACTAAATGGATTTCCACAGGGTCCTTGACGCTCTCTGAGCTTGGTTATGTTCCTGCAGGCATTTCATTACCAAACTAGGTAACATCATCACGGTTAAAAGCTAAGTGGTTTTACGTATCATAAAACATGCTAAAACAGATCAGTACATCTGATGAACTCAACAATTGTGTCTTGTAAACTCACGGCTTGGTCAAACACGGAACTCTAGTCCCTACGGTATATTCAACAATTCCAAAATAAACTGTGTTTTGGTATATAAGGCATACATCCAGCCGTAAATAAATAAATTATAAAGAGCATCACATAACATATCTAAGTGGAGAGGTCACAACTGGAGAAGGCAAGTAACATAATGTGTCTTACCGGTAAAGGAAGTGCTGGGGCAAATCACTAGAGAAGTTGAACAAGAAATCATCAATTGAGTGGGACCTGGCCGTAAAGCCTAGGTGCATGAGAAAGGGCTTGGGGAGTTCGGGCTTAGGCCAAAACCTGCTGGCCTCGGTGTCCCTTATGTGCCTCCTCTGGCTTCGGCTAGCAGGGGCATTTGGCTCACAGATGTTCTTAATAGGAGGAAGAGTCTGTTGAGAAGACATTAAAATAAACTGTTTAGCAAAAGAGGCTATCTAACCAATTTAACTTGTAACACACACGCCTCTTGCCAAATAATTAAATGTGAGAAGATAACAGAAGGAATGTGTAGGTGGGAATTAATTTTATTTCATTTCATATATCTTTCCTATTTGTAGCTTTTCCTTTGAACTGCCCAGGAACTGCAGCTTTTTTTCTCTCTCTCACACACACACACACTCCCTCCTTATTCCCACCCCAATTCTTTTCCAATCTTTGAGGACAAAGTGGGATACAAATCAAGTTCTGCAGAGCCTACAGCACAGAAAACCTGGGGTTCGACAAAACTAATACCCAAAGAAACCTGGATAGTTCGTGGCAGAATCTTCTCCAAATTTATCTTTAGTTAGTTAGTTTTAATTGTCAATTTGGATTATAATTTAACTTCGTTTGTTTCACTTGGTTCAATCTTCCTGCTTAAAAAGTCAAAAAAGTCAGGCATCTGCCATACTTTCATAGCAATGAAGACCAAAGCAGACAATTCGTTTAAATTCTCTGCCATCTTCCTATCCAGCTTGAGCACTCCTTTAATGCTCTTGTTCTCCAATGCCTTAACTCAGTGGTTCTTAACCTTTTTGAACGAATCGCCCCCTTGAGCCAATGAGGAAGTTGTCATCACCCCCTCCCCCAACATAACCCCTCAATCACAACATAGGAAATAATTCTTCAATGTATGCAAACACTTTTTTTGTTTTCTTTAAAATTGTCATCAGGACATATCGATGCAAATAATTTATTTCCAGTCTTTTCCCCATATCTCCCATATTCTGGCCAATGGCGCACCACTGTATGGGTAGAGGCTGCTGCGCAACACGCATGAAGATAAGCGATGCGTCTTCACATATGTACTGTATGTATGGCGTTCTGTACTGAAGCTAGCTGGAGGAACATTTGAAAACACAATTCAATCCACTAAGAGCGAGCGATCTGATGTTTTTTACGACAGATATACAGCCATTCACTGTACGAAAAAGTCTCAAAAGTTTCCCCAAAACTTCTCGCTCCATCGCCCCCATATCGCCCCCTTTTCTTTCCTTCGCCCCCGCGTCGCCCCTTTTTGTTCCATCACCCCCCTGAAAAATGAAATCGCCCCCTGGGGGGCAATATCGCCCAGGTTAAGAACCACTGCCTTAACTGATAGGCTTCCTACTCCAAATATCTTTGAAGATTTTTTTTTTGCTGTTAATGTTCTTTTTTTGTGTGCTTTACAAAGTGTTTTGCATATTTTATTGATGCCTTTTATGTTTTTGGCCAACATTTTCCAAATATTCCTTTCTGTTTTCATAAGGGAAAGATGTCCATTTTTTGGAGAAAGGTTTTTGCCTTCAACTACATCTCTGATCATATTGTTAGGCACTTTGGTATTCTCTTGGGATTTAATGGTACCCTTTCTGGACATTATAGCTGAGATTCTATTACTATCGTTTTGAAAAATTGCCAAACATTTAGAGACTGATTTTCACTCTTGCTTTCAATCTTCTTTTCACTAATCCATTTATTTTATTTTTTTTTTAAAAAAGCTTGATCTTCTGAAGTCACACTTGCCTAAGTTGGACATTTCAGCCAAATATTCACTTAGATACACCTGAAGATAATAGCTTTTTGATTGTCAGTTGGTTCAATACATCTCTTAGGCAAAATTCTGGATTGGGCTTAGCATTAAGGTAAGTGATGCAGTGTATGAAAACCAAAAGGAACATTTGGAAAATGTTGACCAAAAAAGTATTAGGCAAGTATAATGTGCAAAACACTACTCTTGTTGGCTTTTTGAATAGATTTTGAGTGTACAACTATTTAGAATATCTAGAAATTTGGTCTCTTAGTCCTTTTCCAGAGAATTCATTTTCCCAAACTATGCTTACATGAAGGGAAATTATGTTTATTGTTTCTTTTTCTTTAATTCAGTTTCTATCCATAGGTCAGCTTTAGCCTCTTGTGTGGGACAATAGTATGTGCTGAGTACTAACCTACTTTGGAGGATTGATATGGACATCAGTAGAAGTTTCTGCTCCATTTTGTGGCTGTCAGAAATCTATGTTCTGTGTGCATGGGATTTCTCATTCTTTTCAGGTTCAGCCATTCTCCTGAGGGGGGAGGGGGAAGCTTGAGGTGCTGATATGTATTTGCTTTGCTCTGTCTCTTGCTCTATCCTCTTTGGTGTGTCTCTAACAGGGTGAAAATGGAATGTACTTCTGGCCATCTGCCTTATCTCCGAGCATGGAAGAAACGGCACAGACACCTAACAGCCTTGGAAGCGGCGCCTTATTACTCTGTTCCCACAGCATTTCGTACCTGCGGATTGGCCTGTTTGAACCATCCAGATGAACAGTTTGGGTAGGGTTACTATGGACACTTTTAATTACTTGATTTTCCTAGCCCATGTCCTGAGCTACATGGAGGAATATGGCTGACACATACACAGTGACAACGAACGGGTGAGAATCATAACCATGGCCCTGGAGGGAGCAGCAGCTCAGTGGATGGTGACCCTGCACAACGCCAACGCCTGAACTGTGAAACTTCAACCATTTCATGGCTGCTCTGAGGAGGAGGTTCGAGGACCCTTTAGCTGACCAGAAGGCTAGAGAGCGCATCAAAACAGTGAGACAGATTGTCTCCTAGTAGCCGAGTATATGGAGGAATTTAGACACCTGGCAAGCCAACTCAACTGGATGGACGATGTCCTAGTGGGCCATTTCAAAGATGGGCTGAACAACAACCTGTACCGTGCCTGCATCTCCAGAGGAGATCCAGATCGACTCCACAACTGATGTATCCTGGCCAAAGAAGCTGAGATCGACCAAGCCTGAAGGCAGCGACACCTGGGGCGAACCTGGAGATGCTCCCCCTCGGGGAGAAAACGGGAGGCGATGAAACCAACCTCTGTGACACCATGCTCAACAGCTTGCTTCAAGTGCGGTAAGGAGCGCACCGAGCTGCCGAATGCCATTTGAAGACTCCCGTGCAAAAGCCCGATCAAGCCAGAGGAGGGAAACCTAAGAAGACTCCACAGAGACCCAAAGAGACCGCCATGAAGAGCGCTGAGGTCATTGAGGTCCCATCCCCTGGAGCCCTGGGGGAAGGAACTCAGGTTGCAGTTGGAAAACCACCTGAATCCCCTGACAGCGACTCCAAAGATGAGCCCCTGGTAAGAGGACCCATCACGCCCCTCACCAGAACCATAGAGCCATTGAGTCCAGGGATGCCAAGAAAGGTAACCCTGAAGGTTCTAGTGGATTCGGGTTGCACCCGTTGCCTCATAAGCCCAACTTTAGTGGAGAACCTAGAAATCCTGGTGAGGAGCAAATTGGACTGGAGAACTGGAGAGTTGAGGTTCCCAAAGCAAAAGCATGTCGCCTGGGGTGGAGAGTGAAGGACAAAGGGAAAAGGAACCCCAGAGGTAGTAGCAACAGTGAAAGATCGGGGATTGGAAATGGTACCCGAGGAATATCGGGATTTAGCTGAGGTGTTCAATGAAGAACAGTCCAATGAGCTGCCCCCCCATCAGCCCACCAACTGCACCATTGAAATCCTACTGGGGGCCAAATTACCCAAGTCAAAAATGTACTCGATGAGCCTCCCTCCCAAGAACTAGGAGAACTGCAGAAGTTCATAGAGAAAAATTTAGCATGAGGCTTCATACAGCTGGCAAGACCAAAAACAGGGACTCCAGTTTTGTTCCAGGAGAAGAAAGACGGGTCTCTTTGCCTCTGCGTGGATTACAGGTCTTTGAACGCAGTGAGCAAAAACAATATCTACCCCCTGCTGCTAATGAAAGGTATTTTGGCCCACCTAGCGAAGGGGAAAATATTCTCAAAATTAGACCTAAGGGAAGCATATTACCGGGTTAGGATTAAATAAGGAGATGAATGGAAGATAGCAATTAACTGCCCCATGGGCTGCTTCCAATTTAGGGTGCTCCCGTTTGAACTGCAGGGAGCGCTAGCAGTCTTCATGCAGCTAATTAATGAAGTCCTCCAGGAGCACCTCTACAAGGAGGTTCTCGTGTACCTGGATGACATCTTAATTTTTACTGAAACAAGGGAGAAGCACATAAAACTGGTCAAGGTGGTACTGAATAAATTGCAGGCCGCTTGACTTTATGCCAAGCTATCAAAGTGTGAATTCCATAAAGAAAAAATTGACTATTTAGGATACCGCTTATCTCATAATGGGATAGAAATGGATCTGGAAAAGGTCAGGACAGTACTGGAGTGGGCACTGCAATGCATGAGGAAACAATTGCAAAGTTTCCTGGTGTTCGCTAATTTCTACCACCAATTCATCCCTTCTTTTGCCCAAATCACACTTCCCATTACAAATTTAGTAAAAACGAGAGGGGAGGGCAAACCAAAAATGAGCCAACCATTCAAATGGACTATGGAATGTCAAGCTACATTCGAAAAATTGAAAAGACTTTTCACAGCTGAACCGATCCTGAAACACCCAGACACAGAGAAGCCTTTTGTCATACAAGCAGATACTAGTGAGGTAGCAGTAGGCGCAGTACTGCTCCAAGAACACCAAAAGGGCCAACTGCAGCCCTGTGCATACACATCCAGAAAACTCACAGAGACGGAACAGAGGTGGGCAGTGTGGGAGAAGGAAGCCTATGCCGTACGTTGGGCCCTCTTCACATGGAGGCATTTCCTAGAAGGGAATAAAATCCTCTTCCAGATATGGATTGACCACAAGAAACTTGAAGCCTTAAAAAAAAACCCAGAAAACTGTCACCAAAACAAGCAAGTTGGTCTCAACCCTTCCACTGGTTTAACTTTACTATCACATACCTGCCTGGGGGAAAAAAATTCTTAGCAGATGCTTTGTCAAGGTTGCCACAGTATAACAGCACCAAAACAGAAGTGGTGGGCCCCCTCATGCCATCTAAACAATTAGCAGCTCCAGTAACCATATGCTTGCAAGTTAAGAAACCAAAGCATCTAGACAGCAAAGCAGGACCAGAGTTCAGACAGGCTTTGGAAACAGATGAATGGTTCCTGGGTCATAAGAACCTCTCTTCGATGGATGATGGACTGCCTTGGGTGGGTGGGAAATTATGTATACCCAAAGCCCAGAAACTGAAATTTATGCAACTATGTCATTTCGTAAAAATGCTCCATCTAGCAAAGAGATAGTTTTGGTGGCATCCATAAAGAATCCATAAAGAAGGACATTGAAAGTCTCTAATGGGGTGAGAATGGAATGTACCTCTGGCCATCTGCCTTATCTCCAAGCGCAGAAGAAACGGGGCAGATACCTGACAGCCTTGGAAGCAGCACATTATCACTCTGTTCCAACAGCGTTTTCACACCTGCAGATTGGCCTATTTGAATCATCCAGATGGACAGTTAGGGTGAGGTTACTATGGACACTTTTACTTACTTGATTCGCGTGGGAAACCGTCAGATCCTGCCTTCTATTCCTGCTGTCAACACCTCCCAATAAAAGTACCTTTTGAAATGATGCCGTTTCAAGAGTTCTGCTTTCTTGGGAGAACTAATTGGGTCTGCATACAAAGCAGATCTGCTCCCATTATGTCCTTCCCTTTCTTTTTTTCGGAGATCATGTCACAAAGATAACTGCATCCCACTGGTTATATCACATTTCCATAATTTATGCTATGTTTTCCACCTAACATAAAACACTCCTCCTATTCTTAGTATTTGCATATAAGCATCTATATATGTCTCATCCTTCGTCCCAAAGGTGCTTTTTCATGAGCCAACTGAACTTTCTTGTTTTTCTTTGAAGATGTTTCGCTTTTCATCCAAGAAACTTGTTCAGCTCTGACTGGATGGTGGGGAATGGCAGGATTTATACTCCTAATCCTTTCATGGCATGAACTTTTAACCTTATGATATTATGCCTTTCATGATTAATTATATCCATTATACCTATACTGTCACCCTCTAGACAGTTATAAACATTTTCACTCTCATCCCTTATGAGTGATTTTTCCCAGAATGGATGTTTTTGCATTCCGATAGCTTCAGTGAGTCTTATAAATTGTGTGATTCCATACACATTTAAAGCTATCCATCCACCCTTTTAATGTATGAAATGAGCTCTGAATTTTGTACATATTCCATTGGAGCTATGATATATTTTAAGGGAGGCAGCATTGCTGAAAACTAGATAAGGAAAAAGCTTGACAGCTAAATCAGTCTTAGACTTAGAGAGTTAACTGTATTATAAAGGCAGAAGGAAGATGGGTTTGACTCGAATAAGACCATACCGTATTACAGCAGTCCCCAACCTTTCCACCTTGGTGGCCCAGCCTGGTGCAGGTGTGTGTGTGCTGTGAATGGCTAGCACACCTGTGCATGCACAGCTCCATTGATGCAAGGAGCGGGCGCACACATCCTCCACTCACCCGAATGGAGCTTTGCATGTGATTGGAGATGCTTGTGCTCAAGTGCAAAGTTCCACTCGAGTGAGCAGAATGCTTACACACAAAATTCCATTTGCACAAATGGAGGTTTGTGCATGAATGCCCTCTGTTCACGCAAGTGGAGTTTCAAGCGCAAGCTCAAGTGCCCACTGCTTGTGCAAATGGAGCTTTACATATGTGCGTGCTTGCCCATCACTCATGAAGCCCAATTTCAAACAGACCACGGCCTGGGGGTTGGGGACCCCTATTGTATTAGATTCTTATTCATCTCTACCTGTTCTAGCCGCAGTGGTAAACACTATGGAAATACATTGCATGCACTTATTTTTGTGACACAATTATTGGATTCTGTAACACAGAGGCCAAATTCTCAATGAATTCTGCTAGCTCTGAAATAAAAGCCTTATTTGCTATCTATTCTATCAATTTCTTCACAAGTGAGGTGGGATGTAGTCAGGAGATGGATTCCCAGGAGGAAGGCAGTGCACTCCAGAGGAGTAAGCAACAATTCTTTTCAGATAGTTTGAAAGGGGTCATGATGGCTCAGGGGTTAAAGACACTGAGCTTGTCAGCTGGAAAGCTGAGAAACCAGGTTCAAGAACTAAGCACTGAGCACTGTGCAATGGGGTGAGCTCCTGTTCCTGCCCTATCTCCTCCCCACTTAGCAGTTCAAAAGCATGCAAATGCTTGGTGGAAAGGCACCTTTGGCATTAGGAGCCATGGTGGCACAGTGGTTAGAATGCAATATTGTAAGCTAACTCATTGCTCACTGCCAGGAGTTCGATTTTAACCAGCTCAAGGTTGACTCAGCGTTTCATCCTTCTGAAGTTGGTAAAATGGGGACCCAGATGATTGGGGGCAATATGCTAACTCTGTAAACCGCTTAGAGAAAATTGTAAAGCACTATGGAGTGGTATATAAGTTTAAGTGCTTTTGCTATTGTTATAGTCATGCTGGCCATAAATATTTTTGGACAATGCTGGCTCTTTCGGCCTAGAAACGGAGATGAGCCCTGCACCCTAGAATCGGACATGACTGGACAGAGAAACTTACCTTTGTGTGAGAGAAAGAGGGAGAAGCCAGCATCTCCCTAATAGTTCCCAGAGTATTTCCTAAATTGTTGGAGTGTTTCCTAAATTTTTGGATTGCTAACAAAGAGTTAAGGGGGACTGGGATAGCTATTTTGAGCTGATTAGCTCTCATCAGCCAGACATACCCTTCTGAGATTCGAACCTGGGCTGCTTGCACATTAGGCAGCTGTGTTGACCTCTAGGCCACAGGCTCTTTCTCACTTTGTCAGCTGTATCAGGGAGGGAAGAGAGTATAGTTCCTGGAGTATAGTTTGGGAAGATTCTGTCTATAGGTGTGGATATAGATATGAAACAATAAAGAAATATGCCTGGAAGATTTACATTTCCTGCTCAGTTTGTGGAACGGAGGCTGACAACAAGAGATCTCACTATATCTACATTATGGCTTTTAACTAATTACCTTATATTTTCTGATCTTTGTAAGTTCTTTAGAAAGCTTTGATAATCCTGGCACATTTGGAGCTCCCTAAAGAAAAAGGAGATAATAATAGCAAAAAGTTACAAAAACTGAACAGATGTGATATATATCTAAATGAAGCAAGTTAATCCATACACACAAACATGTAGGATGTAGTTGTAAAAAAGAAGAAGGATGCAACCCTGAATAAAGAAACCTTAATCTTCTCTCTGCCAGTCCCTTTTCTGCTCAAAGTGGGCAATCTCCAAGCTACTTTTCTCCTTGTAGGGTGTCTAGATGAGAGTGGAGAAAAATCAGTGATGGATTCTAAGCACAAAATTGCCTTCCAGAGGAAAAGTCAAGCATATGCTTCTGTCTCTGTTGGTTTTTCCCTCAACATCAAGCTGTGGATTTACTGTAAAAATTTCTGGGGTTTAGTAAAGCATTGACATATTAGGAGTATTAGGAGGGGTGGTTTTTCTTTTTTTTGTAAGGTTCTTGTCTTTCCTCTATCATTCCCTATGGCTGGCTGTTAATTCCCAAATCCTTACAAAAAGATGTGCTAATAGAAATCTAAAACATTGCATTTCAGTAAATAAATATACTTATTTAACATTGCAATCATTTTAATTTAATTATATTTTTATGACATGGGATTGGTTCTGACCGTGGACACTTTAAATTTGTAATGTAAGTGTTTCAGATTTATTGTGCATGCTTTATTACTGATATTTTAAATGTATTGTGTACATTTTACCACTTATATGTCATACCATCGATGTTTTAATTTTCTTGTAAGTCGACATGAAGCATTTATATGAAGTTAATGGCATACACATTCAATAAATAAAACAAGTGTTATTTATGATATTTATTTATAATTGTACTTAGAATTTCCAATACAAATAACAAGAAAACAATGCGGATGGAACTTAGATAATAATACATACAATTATACATACTCCATTGAACTGAATGAACTTCCAGAGGGAGTTTTCTAGATAACTCATATAAATTAGTAAGAGGAAGATGCCACTTAGATTTTCCAGTTTAGCAACTCAAAGGATTTGGCTGGCCTTAAGAAAAATATGTAGATAAAACCTGAGCACTAATTTCAACTTGTGTTTCCCCGGTGTATTTAGAAAATATATTCAGGAAAATATGAATCATAGAATATAGAATCACAGGACCGGAAGAGACCTTGGAGGTCTTCTAGTCCAGCCCCCTGTCTAAGGCAGGAGTCCTTATGCCATCCCAGATAAATGAATGTCCAATCTTTTCTTGAAAACCTCCAGTGATGCAGCACCCACAATTCCAGGAGGCAAATTGTTCCATTGGTTAATTGCTCTCACTGTCAGCAAATTACCTCTACAATCATTTGCAAATCTATATATTGTAATGTCTGAATAAGTAGTTTCTAATTCTGAGGAGCAGAATGATTCTGGCATCTAAATGATATGGCTAAGTCTTATACCAGACTATCTTGCAAACTGAAAACATTGCCAGGTATTTTTAGCCATCTTCTTACATATGTTCACTAAACGCAGAATCAAGTGGTAACAAAAACCTTGAGAAACACATTCTAATTCAGATATACAATAGATGTCTCTTCAAAGCAAGCTAGTTTTTACCTTGAAAGGTTCCTTTAGGGCCTTCTTTATATCCAGGTCTTTCTCCGTGATGGTAAACTCCACAGCTTGGCGACCTTTTTCAGTTTCCCATTCCTGTAGCTCTTTCTCATATTGATCTAATGAGTTTTGAGTAAAAATCTACAGGGAAAATACCTAAGATTAACATTATTCAACTGGGATTTTTGCTACTTTTCTTCTTCTGTACTGGTGAGATATATCACCCCTTACGTGCTTTCTGAGACTTAGTTTCTGGCAGCACTTTAGTTCAATGTTATGACTTTATAGAATTTCTTTATAGAAATTACTGGAAACAACTATCTCACCAAAGAGAAAACAAGATAATTATATGCAGAACAGTTAAGCCAACATGTTTGGATGACAGGAAAGAGGACAAAAATGAAATCATGCATGTTCAAGAGCATTCTAATTGACCTATGCATCATGGAAAAATATAATTTGTGTCAAGTGTACATTATTTCTATCTTCTTGAGGCTTCTATGCAGATGTTCCCTTGACAAAAGCCATTCAGCCTTAATTGCTCCATTATATAAATCCCACATTTGTTATTAATTTTAATGAACTAATCAGTGACAGACTTCAATGCAGTCTCATACTCTTTTTAGAACTATAGCCTTTCTGCTTGGCACCAAGATCTCTTATATTGCATATAAGCAACCAACCCCCCCCCCGACTTTTGGTGTTAAAGGAAACTTTGATCTGAGGTATCCACTAAATCTCACCTCACAAATCAAATCCACATTGTAGAAGCATGGATTTTCACCAGCATGCAGTGTAAGAACACAATGAGTGCTCTCTCCGGCCTGCACAATTCCATTTTGAGGTATGATCGTCAGTGCCTTGAAATAAAACAATGGATTATTATATCATAATATATGAAGCTTCAGACAGTCCTCATCCTTCTGTCCTTCCTTAAGGCCCACATAGAATTCAAGGCCCTTCCTTGAATGAGATATGTGTTAGGTTGGCCTCAGTTGCTTCTGTTATTATAATTATTGTTGTTATTCTATTATCTTGTTTTTATGCCATTAAGTCTATTGTATTTTACTACATGACATGACATAATATATTATATTTTTAATTCTAGGTTTCGTATTTCTTTTTTATTTTTTTCTTTTTTTTTTTTTTATTAAAAGTTTTATAAATTTTACAAAAAAGAAAAAAGAATACAAAACAAGAGACAACATATACAAAAAAAATAAAACTAAACAATACATATATATAAAAAAAAAAAAAAACCCCACCCCTCCCAAAACCCCCCCCTCCCTTCCCCCCCCCTGAGCTTCCCAGAGCAGAATATAGGCTTAAGAAATAAAAATAAAAATTAAATTAAGAACTTTATATTTATATATATAAAAAGATTATCTATAATATATATGAAAATAAAACTTATGAAAAAACTATATAATATTTTTGTATACCCAATCTAAATTGTATAAATTTTATCCATTTATCCCAAACAGCAAGAAACTTCTCTTGCGTTTGTTGCTTTAAGAAAGCCGAAATCTTTGCCATTTCCGCCAGATAAGCTACTTTAAGAAACCATTCCTGCAATGTAGGCAAAGATTCCTTCTTCCAATATTGTCCTACTAACAGCCTAGCGGCTGTAATCAAATTTAACATCAATACAACCTCCTTTGTATCACAATCTGTAACAATACCTAACAAAAATAATTGCGGAGTAAATTTTACCCTCCTTCTAAAAATTCTCTGGATATTCCACCATATTTTGATCCAAAATGCTTTTATCTCTCTGCATGACCACCAAATATGATAATAGGAAGCCTCCTTATAACCACATCTCCAACATTTGGGTTGCACGTCAGGGTACATATAAGACATTTTTTGTGGATCAAGGTGCCATCTATAAAACATTTTATAAAAATTCTCCCTTAAGTTCTGTGCTTGTGTAAATTTGACATTTCTCACCCAAATATTTTCCCAGGTGTCCAATGAGACTGGCTCACCAAAATTCTGCGCCCATCTTATCATACAATCTTTAATTAGTTCCGTTTCTGAATCCAATTCAACTAAAACCGCATAAATTCTCTTAATGTGGGTTTGTCTTGAATCCTTCACTTGCTTAATAAGATTTTCATCTTCTCTAAGAAAACCCACCTTACAATCCATCTTCCATCTGTCTAGTAATTGCCTATATTGGAACCAAGAATAAATAAAGTTTTCTTGTGCTAACTCTTCCCGTGATTTTAATTGCCAGTTTTGTCCATCCCATTTAAGTAACTGTCTGTAAGACACCATATCCATTTTAACCCCTCTTTTTATTGCTTCTATCGCATGCCAAGGTATAGCCCATAATGGTACTTTGAAATCACTTTTATAATATTTTCTCCAAATCCTAAGTAAAGAAATTCTTAAGATATGAGATTTAAAAGCCCAATCCATTTTTTTATTGAATATTAAATAGGCATGCCACCCATAAAGTAAATCCCATCCCTCTAAATAAAGTATCTCAGAATTTGTCAAATTTACCCAATCACTGATTAGTGTTAAAACCACCGCGTCATAATATAATTTCAAATTTGGTACCTTAAGTCCACCCCTCTCACGGAAGTCTTGCATAATTTTAAACTTAACCCTTGACTTTTTCCCTGCCCAGATAGGTTTCGTATTTCTTTAAATTGTAACTTGCTCAGGGTCACTCTTGTAAATTGTGTGGCCATATAAAACAATGAAATAAATGAATGAGTACATAAAGCATGCAAGGTACTGGATTCACATTAAATATCTTTGTTTGTCACTCTGCAAATAGACTCTTTCCTACTTATATTAAAAAAGAGTTGGAATAGTTGAATATCGCCACAATAGCAGAATACTGATAAAGAAAGATTGTTTTGGAGTCATAAAATACAACACTGCATTTGAGCCATGCTGTTCTCTTTAGCAAGTGTTTATATTAACTTTTGGAGATTTTTCCATTTGTGGTGTAACCCGGTTCAGAAGTTTGACTTGATAAAATTGAAGCCAATTGATCAAGTGTTGTAACATTGCCAGATCAAAGTGGAGGAAGCTTGAAAGGAACAGAATGGCTAGGAGAAAAACAAGGAAGCCAAAAAAACAATCATGTAGATGAAACTCACCACCATGGCAGGAGAGATCCCCACATGCCAGGTAAAAATGATGGCCTCATCCTCAGAAGCATTGTTGAGGAAAAAAAGGCGGCTACATTTGCTGTAAACAGGGATATTGCCAAGACATATCCGAGGCTGAGATAAATATACTGCCTGGAAAGAAAATAAACAGAATGAATTGCTAGCCTAATAAGTAAGGATCCCTTTGTTTTCTTGGTCTAACTAGTGGAAGAAAACTAGGTGATTTAAAGTGGTATGTAGAGCCTGTAGCTAATTGCAGACATGTATGGAGCATTTCATACATAAACCCTGCTACAATGAAATGAATGGGATCCAGGGAAAAATATTATTCTGTAGACCAGAAGCACCCAGTCTTTTGGGCAGCAGAGATCAGTTCTGTGGAGAATGGTTTTTCCGTGGACCAGAGGGGGCACGGTTTCGCATGCTGCCTGTATCCCATGGATGGGGCTTCACTTGTTTGTGCGGCCCAATTTCTGAAATGCCGTGACCTGGTGCCGGTCCACGGACCAGGGGTTGGGGACCCCTGCTGTAGATGACATAAACGGATGGGTAGAAATTAGTCAAGAGAGTACAGAAAAATTCATTAGGTCTTCAGACACTGAAGAATAATGAGAATTGTGTCTGGGGATATATTTCCATTACAAAAATAAATGATTATTTCAAATATGTCATTTAAGTATAAGTCTACCCATAGGTACAGTTTATTTGGAAAGGAAGGACTGAATCAAAAAGCATGATTGATTTGAATATTTGTGATGGAAGAAAATTAGTGAAGAATACAAGGATATGGAAATGTTCTAAATGTGGAACAAACTTTTATTTAAGAATGGGTTTGGGGAAAGCAAACATGGAAGAAAAACAAAGAGAGAAAGTAGAATGACTGCAAGATGAGAAAATATGAGTCTTTGAAAATGCATTAGAACATAGATAACTCTTCCAACAGAATGAATAGAAAAAGGATGTGAAAATTGCTTGGAAAAGAGCAAAAAGAAATGTTTTGAGTCAAATAGATTACATAATGCAACAAAAGTATAAGTATTTCAAAATTAGTGTTCCAAAGACCAAAATGATTGCAGGGAAAACAGAGTAATATGAGTCTTTGAAAATGCATTAGAACATAGATAACTCTTCCAACAGAATGAATAGAAAAAGGATGTGAAAATTGCTTGGAAAAGAGCAAAAAGAAATGTTTTGAGTCAAATAGATTACATAATGCAACAAAAGTATAAGTATTTCAAAATTAGTGTTCCAAAGACCAAAATGATTGCAGGGAAAACAGAGTAAATGCCTGCAAATTATATATAAAAGTCAAAGAATAGAGTCGCATGGCGATTCTCAAAAGCTGAGAAATGTAAAGAACAAAAGGCAATGCAGAAAGCAATGTATGGATGTTGTGGAAGCAAGGATGGTTACGAAGAACAGAAAAATAAGGAGAAGGAATGGTTGGTGTAAACCATATTTAACTGTATTTCCCTTTCTTTTTCTTATCTCATGCCTTAATTCATTTGGCCTGCTATTTGGTGTTCTTTTTTGTGCTTTGTATAATGTTGTTTAACCCAAAAAGGATTAGTGTGATGAGTATGTTCACATACATGCATCGCTCTCTCTCTCTCTCTCTCTCTCTCTCTCTCTCTCTCTCTCTCTCTCTCTGTGTGTGTGTGTGTGTGTGTGTGTGTGTGTGTGTGTGTGTGTGAGAGAGAGAGAGAGAGAGAGAGAGAGAGAGAGAGAGAGAGATGGAAGAATATTATGGGGGCAGTACATGCACCTTCTGCTATTTTCTGAACTTGTTACTTTATTATTGCTCTATCCATGATATTTTTGGAAAGAGCAGAAGAATCTCCAGCTTTCAAAAGAATATATAATACATCCAAACTTTATGTTTCATTCATAATGGCTTTTTAGTACCCTGCCAGATTCAAATGCACCCAGATTACCACTGGAAAATCTTTCCATTTGTCTAAGCTTCCAATCTCAACCATAATAAGTACAAGCAGTACTTCTGTGACTGACTCGACAGCACAGAGATACAGGCTCAGCAATGAGAACCATTTAAACCAGTGGTTCTCAACCTTTTTAATGCTGCGACCCCCAACCGGTCGTAAGTCGAGGACTACTCAACCGGTCGTAAGTTGAGGACTACTCAACTGGTGCAGCACCATTTGCAGAATGGGACTTTTGGCGGGCTCAGCAGGGCAGAGACAGCCTGGACAATTCCTATTGGCTTTTGAAAGCCAATAGAATTAGATTGTTCAAGAGAGTCTATTCTATTGGCTTTCAAAAGCCAATAGAATAAAAGGGAGTAGCACAGCTAAGGAAAAGGGGGGAAAAAATGGTGGACTGCATTGTTTGGCGACCCCTGTAAAATAGTCATTCGACCCCAAATGGGGTCCCGACCCACAGGTTGAGAACCACTGATTTAAACCAATTCACAAACATCATGGCATAACATGGATTCCTTGTAGGCAAAGCAACTTGATGTTTTGTTTTTTTCATTTGAATCATGTGATATTTATGTCTGAAATCTCCCATAGGATATCTTAGCAACCTCAGGAACTTTAAGTCTATGGAGATTCTCAGTCATCCAGTTTTCTCAAAGGTGCTTTTTCAAAAGGCAACTGGACTGGGGTTTTTTTGGGGGGTGGGTGGGTTTTTTTTTTGAGGAAGAAGAAGAAGAAGACATTTTGCTTCTCATCCAAGAAGCTTCATCAGTTGTGGCACAATGGTGGGGGATGGAAAGAGAAGGCTCTGACAGGTTGCGGGGGGCGGGGGAATGGAAAGATTGTACAGGTAGTCCTCAACTTGGGCACTATAGAGTCCAAAATTATGTTGCTAAGTGAAACATTTGTTAAGTGAGTTTTACTCCATTTTATGGCCTTCCTTGCCACAACTGTTAAGTGAATCATTGCAGTTGTTAAGTTAGCAACACGGTTGTTAAGTGAATCTGGCTTCCCCATTGACTTTGCTTGTCAGAAGGTCACAAAAGCTGATCACATGACCCTGGGACACTGCAACCGTCATAATTGCGAACCAGTTGCCAAACATCCAAATTTTGATCATGTGACCAAGGGGATGCTGCAACGATCGTTAAATGTAAAAAATGGTCATAAGTCACTTTTTTCAGTGCCATTGTAACCTTGAATGCTCACTGAATGAGCTGTTGTAAGTCAAGAGCTACCTGTATTTCGACCGGATGACTGCAAAGAAATATAATCCTTCCACCCCTCCCCCCCATCATCCTGTCAGAACCTATTTTTTCATCCCCTCACCCCCACCGTTGAGCCACAACTGACAAAGTTTATTGGATGAGAAGCAAAATGTTTTCTTCTTCTTCCTCAAGGAAAAAAAAAACCCAGTCCAGTTGCCTTTTGAAAAAAAAAAACAAACACCTGCGAGTCTCAGGAGCTTTATCGCCAACATAACATCCTTAGCTTGTTACAAAAGGATCTGATTGAAGAGGTCACCATTCTCCGTTTTACAAATCTAGCGCTACTTTCTGCCTATATATGGACGCAACAATAATTCTGCGTAACAGATCGACAGATACTGAAATGATGGCAAATTTGTTTTTCCCTGCTGTTGGGAGCAGCCAATATGATACCAAGGAATAAAGTCAATCAGGCCCAAGAGTCACAAGGTCACGTTATCCAGTGTGTGAGAGAAATACCTGCTGGTACATTTTCTGGCATCCTACAGATGGCAACAGAATAATACCAACAGCAATGCATTCATCTTTCATTCAGCTGGACTGCATGTCATAGCATGCCTGGCTTTTCATTAAAGAGATCATACTGGACTTCTTAGAACACATAATAGCCTGCACAATGTACAGCTTTACCAGTGGATACAGCATGAAAAGTGTATCCTTTCGGTGCCTTGCCAGAGGCTCATCAGATAAATAAGAACCATCATTTCTTTTATTTTAAAAAGAAAAAAAAAGACATTACTTGAGATAAAACAGCATCATATAAGAATAGCTTTTCCAGTGCCAGTGGCTCACTTACTCCTACTGGCAATCTGAAATCTCTGTTAAACACTCTCTTGTGTGATACTGGAACAAGTAAACTCCCAGATTTACCAGACCAGGTACTGTTAATTTGGCAGAGACTGGTGTTGTTGCAGCAGACACAACTTTGTCAAATTGTGCTGTTTCTCCCATAACTTGTGGATCAAAGCCTACTCCTTGAAAGGTAATTAAAGCAGAATCTCCATCAAGGATATGGATAGGTACGTCCACCTGTGCAAAGAAAAAAAGAAAAGAAAACTGCAGCTAAAAGAACAATGGCCATAATAAAAGAGGGAGTGAAATTAACCTTTCTATCAATTTACTTTGGGGAACAGATGTGTGTAACAGATCTTGGGGTGTTTAGGGGTAAAAAAAAAAGCAAAATATTGTTCAAATCAAGATGAAGAATTGAGATTAAGAAAATGGAATCAGTAATAGATCAGACTTATCTTGAGGTAAGATGGGTGGCCTACAAATTTTATAAATTAATAAAATAGTTGTAATAGCTAAAACATTGGACACAAAGCAGTTTTGCTGAAATGAACTAAATATCAGAACTTAACTGAATAATAATCACCAGAATGTATGTTCTAAAGCTGATTAAAATTGGATTTGGCAGTTCAGATGATTTAGATGTTCCTGTATGTGTGCAGAAATTTTTTTCCTAATCAATTTGGAAATCTAGATCAGCCTAGTTTCACTCATAAACTCAGAACTGGACTGATTTTTCAAATTAGATCAACAATTTGAATTGGATTTTGCATGATTCATGAAGGCCTAATGCATTTCGGTGGGCTAGCTAGAGGGCATCAAGAATGGCAAGAAATATAAATTCCTAAAGGAAAGTGCTTATTCTTAAAGATAAAAGCTTTACCGAATACATTTTGGCTTCCAGTGGGCAAAAAATCCATTCAGTGTGGGCTGTTAATCCGGGGCCAATCTCTCCTCTTGGATTCAGGCAGGTAAAAACTGCATGATGGTGATTCTCTCTCTCTACCTGCCGGAGGGCATCCGTCTGAATTTCATAGACTGCACTGGTAGAACCTCCATTATACAATTCATAAATCTGCAGGAGAGAGACACCAATTCCATTTGGTCTATCGGCAAAGATTATTAAATATTTTCTGACAAGATGCACAAATACCTTCATTTTGTATAACTTCAGCCTCTTGCCTCTCTATTATATGACCATTGTTAGGGGGGAATTAATTTGGCACATATGAATATTTAATATTAATTAGTGATATTAGGAAGCAATCTTAAAATTTAAAATATATTCTTACATGGATGTAACATGAATGAATGAAAAATATTCCCCCAGCAGAATTCCCAAGCTATTTGTCAATACTATTGCCTTGGATTTATATATGTATGCATATCTATTTATCTATCTATCTATCCAGGGCCGGAACCTACAAAAGCAAGCCAAATAAACAAAGAACATCACAGGAAACATAAAATACAACCAAACTATACATGGCAAACGGTGTATCACTTATCTATCCCAGAACTTGGGGAATTGACCACATTTTTAAAAATTGCCTAAAAATTTGCACCTTCAGGGTGGTACAAACCTCCAGAGAGATAACATTCCAAGGGCAAGTGCCACAATAGATAAGGCATAGTTCCTAGGTCCCATTAGATGACAGTACTTAATGAATGGGACATGTAGCATACCAGCCCTGCCTGGGCAGGCAGAAATAATGGGAGAGAGGTCATCTCTGATAGCCAGGGCTAGTGGTGGTGAACCTATGGCACCTGTGCCAAAGGCAGCACTCAGAGCCCTCTCTGTGGGCACGCATACCATGCCCCGGAGATGGCAATCATCCCTCTTCAACAGCTGCCCGCTAACTCACCGAGGTCCCACATGGCCAGATGCATCCCAGTATGGCTAGTTTCCCTCCCCCCTGTCCCATCCCTCCTGGCCTCGCATGCTCTCCTTTTCCCGGGCACGACTCACTGCATTGCCTCCTCAGCTGTCAGCCAGCCGTCCAGCTCAGAGGCGGCTTCAGAGTGCACCGGTTGAGGGGCCGGCAGGCTGTGGCTGCTGACGGACACTGTCGGCCCCCATGTGCTCGCTGGCCTCTGTGTGTGGGAGCCGATGGTGTCAGGCAGCAGCTGCCCCGGCCCCTGCCTCACCTTGCCCTGCGACAATGGCAACCCTGCCCTGCCTCGCCTCACCCTGCAGGACAAGCCTCCTGCCTACTGCCACACCTGGCAGAGACCCCCTGGATCTCCCCTAACCCTGCCTGGCCCCCACAGGCATCCCTCCCCATAAGCAACATTGAGGTGATCACGCCCACCTTGGCCACACCCATGACCACTGCCATGACCACCACAGCCATGCCCACACTGTGGGCCACGCCCACTTGGCACCCAGTGATAAATAAGTGGGTTTTGAGTTGTAGTTTGGGCACTCGGTCTCTAAAAATTTCGCCATCACTGGCATAGGCCTTGAAGGATTTTAAATTGCACTCAGAAGCCACTGGGAACTAGTGTACTAGCATGGTATAGATCAGGGGTAGGCAACCTTGGCTCTTGTACGACTCGTGGACTTCAACTCCCAGAATTCCTGAGCCAGATGCTGCTTAATCTCTTGGACCTCTTTGAACTATCAAGGAGGACCATGGAATCAAAGCACAAAGAGAGACTGCAGAGGCACAATTTGGTCCAAGGCTCTCATCACACACCCATTCCAGGCAGGGATTAAGATCTTGCTGGAATGTCTACCAGATTCCCAGGGGAAAACCCCAAACTCCCCCTGAAATTATCCAGGTCCATTCATTGCAGAATGATTGGATAAGTCCTGCAAAGACAGAGGAAACAGCACCAACAAATCAAAAGCAGTTGAAGAAACAAGGTGGGCTTTTGATGACTCACTTGTTTAGGAGAATTATATGTGCCAATAGCAATGGGTGTGAACATATGTTTAGCTGAAGTGAAGTGAATGTAGTGGCATCCCAGCTTCAGGGTCACACCAATGAAATTCAGCTGCAGGCACAGAATAAAAAGAAAAGAGGTGAAATAATGGGCTGTTATTTGCACCATACCATACAGGCTGCATTTATAACAACCACAAATAGTGCCTTTCCCCAATCTCATTCTTAAAAACATTAAAGCTAAAGTAAAAAGTTAAAGGGAACAGCCCTTCAGCATTCTCAAGGTTTTTCCTCATTAAATCTCACACTGATGGTTGGTTTGGACACAAATCTGGATTTTCATATTTTTTGAAATTCTGAATTCCTGGAAGAGGAAAAACATACAAACAAAAAGGAATACATTCAAGAATACCTAGAAATCTTGAATGTGTAATGGGCATCTAATAGAAGGTCAGTAAGAAAGGAGGGAGGCGTCACTGGGGAATAAGGGAATTGGATTTTAACTGAAAAATTAGGGAGGGCCAAAGTGGAAAAGGCAACTAAAAAACAACCTTGGGGATCAAGGAGATGATGAAACCACTAGCAGTATAAAACTGAATTAATATCAAATAAAAATCAGCACTGTAATTTCTATTTTTCTCAAGAAAGTTATCAAATTGGGATTAGTTCTCCTTTGTCTCCATCCACAAACCACACAGATAAAAACATGTTCTCTTGACTGTCACTAAAACAGAGAGAAGGTGAATCAAATCTTAAGACGCTATTTTCAAACAGTTAACTGCTAAAAAGAAAATTCTGCCATCAGAACTATTCAACCCCCATAGTGCCTAGAGTAGTAACTATAATGATGCTTATGGATGAAAAATCAGAGGTCTCAAATATGTTGTGGTGAGTATGTGAATCATAAAAAGAACGCTCTGTGTCCACGATAAGGACATTTTACCAGGGCACTGCCTACTATAGCTATAGCAGCTAAAGAATTTAGTGAGTCCTTAGGGAAGAATAGTATCACTTCCTCCTGGGGAGTTTATGAACCTCTGCACTTAATATCATACCAGAATTTCTCGACCGTGGGATATTTTTAGTAGGACTGGAAGTCGGTCAGTGCCAATGAAATCATGTCTGTTGAAGGAAAAACAGATATAAGCATTAAAAAAAATGCATAAATGAAACCATTCCAAACTCTTAACTGAGGAATCCTATATCAAATAAAAGATCAGGAACAATTATTTCCCTGTTGCAGAACTGCCCTGTTGCATAAAGAGCCTCCTGGGCACAAGGATAGCATTGGATAAGAAAGAACCATGTAAAGTTAATCTACAGCTGCCTTAGGTTCTGAATAAATTCAAGAATTCAAAATCTGAGTCTCGGAAAAGGTAAAATCATGCAGTCCTCTGCTTTGGGAACAGTGTTGAGAGAATTTTGTTGGAATTTCATACTTCAGGTGATCATAAGAGGGTCCCAAACTGCGGGTTAAGTTGGTGTGCCCTATCTAACATAGGAGCTGAAATTGACATTTGGGTGAGCTCAGCTCCCACATGAGTAAGGAACCATAGTACATGAATACCTGTAAGACAGGTGTATAATTTGCTCTTGCCCTGGAGGAAGCTTTCCTGACTTGGGAGCGATGGTGAAAAGCTGATTATCCTGGATTCGCATCTGATGCAACTCACTGGGATCAAACTCAGTACTTTCTGCCCAATATTCCATGTCAATCTTCTGGTCAGAAGGAAAAAGAAAATCCCTACAAAAGCAGTTAATGCCGAGAAAAGGAGGAAGAAAATGCACAGATCCGATCTTTAGATTAGAAGACAGAATAACATTAAATGCTAGGAGACTGTTCAGCTGACAAATTTCCTCACTGCTAAGCAGGCTCTGATCATTCTCCCTTCCATTGATGTGTATCAATGGCCCATTCCAACATCCAGACTAAGATTATCCAGTACCTAGACTATGATTAACCAGATCCAAGGAACTTTATAACATCTCTGTACAGTGCTCTACAGAATTATAAATGGTAGCCATCTAATTATTTTCCTTCTCAATGCAAGAAAGACATTGCTACAGTATCCTCACTAGCAAAGCCTCTCTAAACAATGAAGAGCCAATTTTTATTTTCCCAAATAACTTGTTCCATTGTCAAATCTTACATTCATAGCCATTCTATGAAATGCACCAGAAATATAAATTAAGCACCCTTGAAGATGCAATTTTTATAGAATCTTTATTTACCTGCATATTCATGAATTATGCCTCAATATTATTTATAAATCAGACCATTTGGCCTGTTAAACCAGGCACGAGGGATACCCTTTGTGCTTAACTGCAGAGAAAAATATCCCCCAAATTAAATCCATACTATGAAGATACTTATCTGATCCATCCTAAATTCAAGTGCAGGAGGAAGATAGTGCAAAAATTCTGAACTCTAAACAGAAGCTGTTCCTGGTTAAGTCAGTGATTGAGCATAACTTACCAGTTTACAGGTATCATTCCATTGTTCTGTATCATCAGCACAACCATAGAGGGCTCACATCCAACTGGAGCAGCTCCAAAATTGAAATCTACCATGACAGGTGTGTAAACTGGGGGTATTCGCTGAGTGCTGCATGTTGAAAAGAAATGAAAAGTGAGAAGAACGGTGGAGGAATTGTTCCTATGTTCAATAGTCCCAGAATCTGCCTTGCTTACATATTGTATTTTCTTGTGTCTTGCTTGAAGCAAAAAAAAAGAAAAGAAAAGAAAAGAAAAGGAAGAAAAGAAAGTATTGGTTGCAGACTATGATGTAATCAAGAAAGTTTCTGTATGGAGGAACTAAAAACTAAGGCACCATCAAAGCTGACACCAGCCAGAGCACAAAAAAACTCAAAGAAGTAGTGCAAGATTGCAAGATGTGATAGCAGTGTTCCAATATCTCAGGGGCTGCCACAAAGAAGAGGGAGTCAAGCTATTTTCCAAGGCACCTGAAGGCAGGACAAGAAGCAACAGGTGGAAACTAATCAAGGAGAGAAACAACCTAGAACTAAGGAGAAACTTCCTGACAGTTAGAACAATTAACCAGTGGAACAACCTGCCTCCAGAAGCGGTGAATGCTCCAACACTGGAAGTTTTTAAGAAGAGACTGGACAGCCTTTTGTCTGAAATGGTATAGGGTTTCCTGCCTGAGCAGGGGGTTGGACTAGATGACCTCCAAAGTCCCTTCCAACTTTATTATTATTATTATTATTATTATTATTATTATTATTATTATTATTATTATTATTATTATTATATTAACTTGGTCCATAGAATCGCCAAGACTTGGACATGACTGAATGGATATCATCATCGTCATCGTCATCACCACAGACTAAGAACTATTAAGAAAAAAAGGATTCTTACCTGTGTCTGGTAGGCACTCGGAAAGTGAGCTCCTGGGGTGTCGGCTCTCGCTCCAGATATTGGTTCAGTCTCTCCAAAGAAAAGAGTCTCCAGAGGTGCAGCTTGCTGATGCCAGAGGCGCTGCCTGTCCCACAGGCATCAACGATGCAGATGGAAGGGTAGATGCCAGTTGCTACCACACGGCAAACAGACAGCTTTTCCCCCAAAGGGTTTGCAGCTTGCAAGGGAAGCAAGGCAACTGTCAGTACATCAACCTTATTACCAAAAGTGCAAACATATGGCATTTGGGATGCAGGAAATGGTAAGGAAGGGATTTGGTTTTCAGTCATTACTTGTAATTAATTACGATGTTATGTCTCCTTTCTGTCCAGATCTGGTTTACATCAATTGCTGTTGATATCAGTTAAGCCAGCAGCCAACAATATCTCTATTTCCCTTGATAAGTCCTTCACATCTTCCACCACCAAGTACAAATGGGAAAAAATGGAACCTGTTCAATTTTTTTTTCTTCAGTCCCCATATATTATATATAAAACAAATTAATCGCTGGATTAAATAGGCACTTCAGCAAACACCAGGAACAACACACAGTCTCTAAAAACTCATCAAACATCAGAAATCACGGGCATCCAAAGTGGAATGATTACCTGAATGGGCTTCTAAATGAAAGTACTGGTCTGAATGGGAAGAAATGAGAGCTTATATTATAAAATAAATACAAACTACTGGCAGAGGCACTTGTTGAAATCCATGAGAAAGCCAGTTTGATCTACTGGTTGAGGCACCAGGCTGGAAATGGAGGCCATGAGTTCTAGTCCGCCTTAGCCAAGAAAGTCAGCAGCGTGACCTTGGACCAGCCTACCCACCTCACAGGGTTGTTGTTATAGGGACAATAGGAGGAAGATGGATTAGTAGATATATTAGCCGCTTTGAGTTATTTATAAAAATAATGAAGGCGGGATATAAGTAAAGTAAATAAATAAATAAAATTATCTCCCATTATAGATTAATCCATAAAAAAAAAATAAAACTTGACAGACTTCTTCAGGTGGCTCTCCTATTAATTGCAGCTCTCTTTAAAAATGTTAGTTTCCAGAATAGAGGAGAAACTGTGTAACTCTTCTTTCTTTTCCTTTCTTGGTGGATATTTTGTGGTATGAAAGAATGGAAGAAATAAGCACAGAATAGTTAAGATAACCCTGTTTAGCTCTCTCTATTGGTAAGATAACATAAGATAACCTTTATTGTCATTTTTTACTATGAGTACACTGGCCCACATTAAAAATGAAATTCTCTGCTCTCAAAAAAAAAAGTATATATCTACCCATTCACACATAATACACATAACACACATATACACATGCTATATACATACGGTGTTTCCCAAAAAATAAGACTGGGTCTTTTTTTTTTTTTTGCCTCCAAAAGAGGCACCAGGTCTTAATTTTGGGGGATGTCTTAGCTCACCTCCGGTACCAACAGCCCCGCCCAGACGGTCTACTTCTTCTGGGGCTGAAGGAGCAGCTTCATTCTGCAGCTGCATTCCGGCCTGCATTTTGCAATCAGGCCTTTCTGGAAGACCTTTGCAGCCGAATACCGAGCTATGGATTCAATCCATAGCTCAGGGCTACAGAGGTCTTGCAGAAGCTATGGATTCAATCCATAGCTTGGTTCTCAGCTACAGTGGCCTTCTGGAAAGGCCTGTGACTGAAAAATGCAGGCCTGGCTGCAGAGGACGCTGCAGAAGAAATGGGCCAGCGAGGAAAGGCCTGGCTGCAAGGTAAGTGGGTGTGGGGCGCATAGGGCAGATCCATCCCCCACCCCTGCCCTAGCTTGATTTTTAGGTGTGTGCCTTGCCCCAAAACTAGGGCTTATTTTGGGGGTAGGGCTTATATTAGTTCTTCTTGTGGCTTCTCTGATTTCCTGGCCATCATTCTACTTTGGAGCACAAAAGCCAATTTATCTTTTAAGAGTAAAGTGGCATGGCCATTTTCTTCTCTGTCCAATCTACCATATAAGGAATAGCCTTCAGATATCTTTTACAGATTCTTGAAGGTAGTTAAGACATGCTTCACTTGAGAGGAGCTCTTAATCCTGAACTCTCCAAAACAAAATTTCACCCGAGTTGATTAGACTGTGGCAGAATAGAAATGGGATAGGCTAACAAGTTCTATTAGCTTTCCAACTTTACAGTTCAGGTGAGTTCTCCATTAAGTTACTACTCAATTGCGTAACACACAAATTTTCTATAAACCCAACACGTATCAGAGTAAGGGGAGTCTTTTTAAAAAATCTATTGTGGATTTTCCTACTTTCCCAACACACAGATATATATTGCTTGTTGCAAGGCTACGTAGCAATAGCTAAGGTCTAGCTCAGTAGTTCTCAACCTTTCTAATGCTGCGACCCCATAATACAGTTCCCCATGTTGTGGTGACCCCCTAACCACTTATACATCACCGGGTGCCAGGGGCGTGGCCAAAGAAAAGGGGGGGAAATGGCGGACAGCCTTGTTTGGTGACCCCCGTGAAATGGTTGTTCGACCCCAAATGGGGTCCCAACCCACAGGTTGAGAACCACTGAGTTAGGGTTAGGTCACCATGAACTGATAGAGCAAAATGGACATCGCCAACAAACTCGGAATACTTGAGTATGGTTAGGAGCAAACTTACTTTTGTAGGCTACCCTATCTATCTTTCCTGGTAAAATTCATGGGAAAATCCCATTGGAGGAAAATTCCACTTAGAGTTAGGTCACCATGAACTCATAGAGAAATAGGGACATCGCCCAGAAACTCGGAATACTTGGGTATGGTTAGGAGCGTACTTCCTTTTGTAGGCTGCCCTATCGATCTTTCCTGGTAAAATACATGGGAAAATTACATAGTGGGAAAATTCCACTTAGGGTTAGGGTTAGGTCACCATGAACTCATAGAGCAAAATGGGCACCGCCAACAAATTCGGAATACTTGGGTATGGTTAGGAGCTTACTTACTTTTGTAGGCTGCCCTATCTATCTTTCCTGGTAAAATACATGGCAAAATTACATATTGGGAAAATTCCACGAAGGGTTAGGGTTAGATCACCATGAACTCATACAGCAAAATGGACATCGCCAAAAAACTCGGAATACTTGTGTATGGTTAGGAGCATACATACGTTTGTAGGCTGCCCTATCTTTCCTGGGAAAATACATGGGAAAATCCCATTAGAGGAAAATTCCACTTAGGGTTATGGTTATGTCAAAATGAACTCATAGAGAAAAATGGACATTGCCAACAAACTCGGAATACTTGGGTATGGTTAGGAGCGTACTGACTTTTGTAGGCTACCCTATCTGTCTTTCCTGGTAAAATTCATGGGAAAATCCCATTGGACGAAAATTCCACTTAAGGATAGGTCACCATGAACTCATAGAGAAATAGGGACATCACCCAGAAACTCGGAATACTTGGGTATCGTTAGGAGCGTACTTATTTTTGTACGCTGCCCTATCTATCTTTCCTGCTAAAATAACATAGTGGGAAAATTCCACTTAGGGTTAGGGTTAGGTCACCATGAACTCATAGAGCAAAATGGACATCGTCAACAAACACGGAGTGCTTGGGTATGGTTAGGGAGGCATTTACTTTTGTAGGCTACCATATCTATCTTTCGTGGTAAAAAACATGGGAAAATCCCATTGGATGAAAATTCCATTTAGGTTTAGGGTTAGGTCACCATGAACTCATAGAGCAAAAGGGACATCGCCAACATACTCGGAATGCTTGGGTATGGTTAGGAGCGTACTTCCTTTTGTAGGCTGCCCTATCGATCTTTCCTGGTAAAATACATGGGAACATTACATAGTGGGAAAATTCCACCTGGGGTTAGGGTTAGGTCACCATGAACTTATAAAGCAAAATGGACATCGCCAACAAACTCGGAACACATCGGTAAGGTTAGGAGCGTACTTACTTTTGTAGGCTGCCCTATCGATCTTTCCTGGTAAAATACTTGGGAAAATTACATAGTGGGAAAATTCAACTTAGGGTTAGGGTTAGGTCACCATGAACTCATAGAGCAAAATGGACATCGCCAATAAACTCGGAATACTTGGGTATAGTTAGAAGCGAACGTATTTTTGTGGGCTACCCTATATATCTTTCCTGGTAAAATACATGGGAAAATCCCATTGGAGGAAAATTCCACGTAGGGTTAGGGTTAGGTCACCATGAACTCATAGAGAAAAATGGACATCGCCCAAAAACACGGAATACTTGGGTATGATTAGGAGCGTACACACTTTTGTAGGCTGCCCTATCTATCTTCCCTGGTAAAATACATGGAAAAATCCCATTAGAGGAAAATTCCACTTAGGGTTATGGTTAGGTCAACATGAACTCATAGAGAAAAATGGACATCGCCAACAAACCCGGAATACTTGGGTATGTTTAGGAGCGTACTTACTTTTGTAGGCTACCCTATCTATCTTTCCGGGTAAAATTCATGGGAAAATCCCATTGGAGGAAAATTCCACTTAGGGTTGGCTCAACATGAACTCATAGAGAAAACTGGACATCGCCAACAAACTCGGAATACTTGGGTATGGTTAGGAGCGTACTTCCTTTTGTAGGCTGCCCTATATATCTTTCCTTGTAAAATATATGGGAAAATTACATAGTGGGAAAATTCCACTTAGGGTTAGGGTTAGGTCACCATGACCTCATAGAGAAAAATGGACATCGCCAACAAACCCGGAATACTTGGGTATGGTTAGGAGCGTACTTCCTTTTGTAGGCTGCCCTATCGATCTTTCCTGGTAAAATACATGGGAACATTACATAGTGGGAAAATTCAACCTGGGGTTAGGGTTAGGTCACCATGAACTTATAAAGCAAAATGGACATCGCCAACAAACTCGGAACACATCGATAAGGTTAGGAGCGTACTTACTTTTGTAGGCTGCCCTATCGATCTTTTCTGGTAAAATACTTGGGAAAATTACATAGTGGGAAAATTCAACTTAGGGTTAGGGTTAGGTCACCATGAACTCATAGAGCAAAATGGACATCGCCAACAAACTCGGAATACTTGGGTATGATTAGGAGCGTACGCACTTTTGTAGGCTGCCCTATCTATCTTTCCTGGTAAAATACATGGGAAAATCCCATTAGAGCAAAATTCTACTTAGGGTTATAGTTCGGTCAACATGAACTCATAGAGCAAAATGGACACCGCCAACAAACTCGGAATACTTGGGTATGGTTAGGAGCGTACTTAGTTTCGTAGGCTACCCTATCTATCTTTCCTGGTAAAATACATGGAAAAATCCCATTGGAGGAAAATTCCATGTAGGGTTAGGGTTAGGTCACCATGAACTCATAGAGCAAAATGGACATCGCCAACAAACTTGGAATACTTGGGTATGGTTAGGAGTGTACTTACTTTTGTAGGCTACCCTATCTATCTTTCCTGGTAAAATTCATGGGAAAATCCCATTGGAGGAAAATTCCATTTAGGGTTAGGTCACCATGAACTCATAGAGAAATAGGGACATCGCCAAGAAACTCGGAATACTTGGGTATGGTTAGGAGCGTACTTCCTTTTGTAGGCTACCCTATCGATCTTTCCAAGTAAAATACATGGGAAAATCCCATTAGAGCAAAATTCTACTTAGGGTTATGGTTCGGTCAACATGAACTCATAGAGCAAGATGGACACCGCCAACAAACTCGGAATACTTGGGTATGGTTAGGAGCGTACTTACTTTTGTAGGCTACCCTATCTATCTTTCCGGGTAAAATTCATGGGAAAATCCCATTGGAGGAAAATTCCACTTAGGGTTAGCTCAACATGAACTCATAGAGAAAACTGGACATCGCCAACAAACTCGGAATACTTGGGTATGGTTAGGAACGTACTTCCTTTTGTAGGCTACCCTATCGATCTTTCCTAGTAAAATACATGGGAAAATTCCATTTAGGGATCGGGTTAGGTCACCATGACCTCATAGAGCAAAATGGACATGGCCAACAAACTCGGAATACTTGGGTATGATTAGGAGCGTACACACTTTTGTAGGCTGCCCTATCTATCTTTCCTGGTAAAATACATGGGAAAATCCCATTAGAGCAAAATTCTACTTAGGGTTATGGTTCGGTCAACATGAACTCATAGAGCAAAATGGACACCGCCAACAAACTCGGAATACTTGGGTATGGTTAGGAGCGTACTTACTTTTGTAGGCTGCCCTATATATCTTTCCTTGTAAAATATATGGGAAAATTACATAGTGGGAAAATTCCACGTAGGGTTAGGGTTAGGTCACCATGACCTCATAGAGCAATATGGACATCGCCAACAAACTCGGAATACTTGGGTATGGTTACGAGCGTACTTATTTTTGTAGACTGCCCTATCGATCTTTCGTAGTAAAATACATGGGAAAATTCCATTTAGGGTTACGCTTAGGTCACCATGAACTCATAGAGCAAAATGGACATCACCAACAAACTCGGAATACTTGGGTATGGTTAGGAGCGTACTTACTTTTGTAGGCTGCCCTATCTATCTTTCC